GAGAGAGAGAGAGAGAGAGAGAGAGAGAGAGAGAGAGCGGCAGTCTTCAATAGCTGGTTTGATTAGGAAACATACTCGGAGCCGCTCTAAACTTGCTGTCATCGTCCCCTGAGACGTCGTGTGGCCGTTCTGCACCATCATCCACATCGTTTTCTAGGTCCCCCATCATCACCGTCAGGCCATCCCAGCCCACTTCCAGGAACATATTGTGAATGCGCTGAATGATTTCTCTCATGGCGGGTCTGGACCCATACTCGTCTTGGACACATTCCCAAGCCGGTTGAAATACGCTCATCACCATCTTCTTCATCGACTCTCCAGCCACCTGATCCCACAAGCGCCGATCAAGTATCGGGTACGGCATCTCCATGCTCCCGCTCGGGACGACTCCCCCTTGAAGGAAAGGCTTCACCCACTCGACGAGCGTCTGCCATCCCAACCCGGAAGGAGCCGGCGCGACCACCTTCCTGCCCGTCAAGAGCTCCAGAACGAGTACCCCGTAAGAGTACACATCGTTCTTTTCGGACAGCTCTCCTCTCAGCATGTACTCGGGCGACATATACCCGAAAGTGCCGCCGATGTGAGAGGTCAGCACGACGTGGTCATGTCCTGTGTCTAATACCCTCTCGCCGATGGCCGCTAATCCGAAATCCGCAACGACGATGTGAAGCTTCTCGCCAGATCCCTCGCCGAGCATAATGTTGCTGCTCTTGATGTCCCGATGGATAATCGGGGGCCTGGCGGCGACGTGAAGGTAGCAGAGCCCCTTGGCAACCTGGAAGGCGATGCTCATGCGCTCCTGAAGCGTCAGCGGACGGGATGGATTCTCGACAATTTGGTCTCTCTCCGGCGCTTTTGCATCGCCCCCACTGACGGCCTTGGAGCACAACCGCCCGTGCAGGCTGCCTCCTCGGAAGAAGGGTACACCAAGATGCAGTGATCGCCCGCAACGCAGTACTCGACTAGTTGTACAAGGTTAGCATGATTGAGGCCGCTGACGGTGTTCACCTCGGCCACAAACTGGCTCCGTTTGATGTCCGTCAGCTCGCCCGTCATCAGCTTTATCGCGACCTTCTTGCCGTCGAGCGAGCCTCTGTAAACCTTCCCAAACGCTCCTCTCTCCCCGATTCTTCGACCCTCGCTGAATTTGTCCGTACATTCCGACAGGATTGTGAAAGGCAACTGCTTGACCCGGGACGGCATAATTCCCCACGTGTCCAACGCTCCACCTCTCTCCATAGATGAAGGCCGTCGTTCATCGAGTAGGACGGCACGCTCCAGACCTGCTCGTCGTCGGCGCCAAAGGCGAATCAAGCTGCCAATGATTGCCACGGCTACCACGCCCACCGCAATTGCTAACAGAGCCGCGATGAGAGCCCCTCCAAGAGGGCCACCTCCAGAAGATGCAGGGGCGTTGTTCGGTTCTGCTACTGTAATTGGCTGTGCTACTTTGCTTGGTTGTGATACTGTGATTGGCTTTGCTGCTGTGCTTGGTTCTACTGCTGTGCTTGGTTCTACTACTGTGCTTGGCTCTGCTGCTGTGCTTCGTTCTGCCCCGGTGATTGGCTCTGCTACTGTGCTTGATTGTGATACTGTGATTGGCTCTGCTGCTGTGCTTGGTTCTACTACTGTGCTTGGTTCTGCTTCTAGTGCACAGTCTCTTGGAGACCTGTTCAACTGCACTTCGAAAAGCTTCCCGTCCTGAGAGCCCACGTATAGGCACGAGTCGACCCCCTCATTTTCCATCAATGCCAGTCCCGTCAGGGTACCCCCGTAATAGGACATCGCCACATTGGGGGCACGAGAGAGAGAACCACAGGGTCTGCGGACGTACGCGCTATAAACCAGGGGGCCCTTCGTCAAGAAGAGAGTACACCCATCCCGCGTGCCCACAACATCATTCCTGTATGCGAGTTCCCTTTCACCGCGGGAAAATATATAATCTAGCCTCGTGGGTTCATTATTACTATTATTATCGAACGGGTGAATCCCCCTGTTACATACTCCAATGAGTATGGGCAGAACCAAGAATCAACCAATATAGGATGAGTTTTTATGCAGTGGAAGTCTTATAACGAACTGACTCACATAGACTGACTCACATAGACTGACCTACATGGCATCGCTCCACACACATACAATCATGAGATGGTGGGGTCTGGGTCATGCATAGAAGATACCCAGATCCCGTACACACATGCACAGATGAAAGGTGGGAGGAGAGACGAAGGAGGTNCACAGATGAAAGGTGGGAGGAGAGACGAAGGAGGTAGGAGGTAGATCACACCGATAGGTCACAAGATAGGGTCCGGTAGGTCTCCGAAGTAGTAGTCCAAAATGTCATACAACAAGATCAAAATGTCGAAGACCCAAGGTCGCCAATGTCGGAGATAACCGAGTCCAGATGTAACCGGTGTCCAACTGTGATGCAGCCGAGTATCCACCTCAACAATCTCCAAGTCTCCAATCAGGTAAGTACCATAGTCTCATATCACCGAAGTCCAACTCTGATCTCTGTCCAACTGGATAGTCTCCAATCCGAAGAAGACGAAGAAGAAGAAGAAGAAGAGGAAGAAGAAGGAGGAGAAGAGGAGAGAGAGAGAGAGGGGACTGGCGAGGGAGAGGAGGAGAGATCCTCCAAGCTCCCGGTACCTCAGGCGGCAATGGCCGCYGTGCTGGCTAGTCGCCCCGCTGCTGCTCCGCTCGCTGCTGCGCTAAGCTGCGCTATGCTGCGCTCCTGCTTCAGCCCCTGCGCTAAGTTTAGCGCATCAAACAGCGCTCTGGCGCTGACCATAACGCACCGGTAGAGTGCCGGTGGTTCGATGCCTCAGAATGAGGCAGGTACCGGTACTTATACCGGTAGGCCATGGTCTGGCCTCAATGCTGCGAGGCCAAGCCAGACCCTGGACCGTCCAGATGGACGGTTCAGCCTCCATCGGCGGGTGGCAGCCTCAAGAGCGCCGCCAGGCCCAAACAAAGTGTCGTTTGGGCCTACCCGCTGGGCTGAGTGCAGAATCAGGCCTTTAGGGCCTGTGACCCTCAAGGTCGGACCTTTCGGCCCAAGTGTGTCCCTCCGGCCCTAAGTCGGGTCCGGTAGGACCTGTGTGACTCGAAGATGTAACACCCCCACAGCCGCTCCGTATCCGTCTCCCCGTAATAAAGGCAATTGTTCACAAAGCTTTGTGATTGGAATATGACTCTACCAGGTCCGGAGGTTAAGGAATAGGTTCCTTCCGGTGATGACGTCGTAAGTCCCGAGCGATCGACACGAGTCCAATAGATTACATAATGCAAAGAAAAAACTGCATAAAACAGGCGTTCTCCGGAAGGATCCAATGCGATTCTTCCAATCCAGGACCCGATGTAATGTCGCATAGGCTACGATTGTTAGAAACGGGGGAGGGAGGGTAGGCGACGCTCAAGATGAGATGGGAACCATCTTTCGAAAGGGCCATCCCCATCACGTAAGCCGTCGAATTCGGCCGCTCTGCAATTCTCGACCCGTTTCGCTGGTCGTAAGACCACAAGTAGGTTAATAATGTTGATTCGTCATCTGGCGAGTCAGATCCCAGGGGCGCACCCCTCGACAAGTTGACTTTTCTGATCGACGTTACGTCGCCGTTTGAGCAGTTCTGGCGGAGGACGTAGTACAGCTCTTTCTCAGGCGAAACCACCAGGTTGGCAATTACAGACAGACAATCCTTTGTTGGGGGCGGATGTGAAACAACGACCCGTATCGAGTTGTTGATCAAGGGTCCGTCTCCGAACCGTACCACTGGACGAGATGGTGGGGCTGCAGATGTGGGCGTCTTCAGAAGGCGACGGACCACATGTGCATCGGAATGGGAAAACACAGCCAAGGATGAGAATCTGTGAGACAGTCTGATGTCACAGAGTTGCCTGCAGTAGCCGCAGAGCATCGCGAATAAGGCCAGGAAAAAGGAGAAGATGAACGCGCGCACCAAGAGGAAGCGCACGTGACGACTTCTGATGCCACAGAACGCCGCACGGACATTCCTTCTCTCGCGAAAACGCATCCTCTTCATCGAGCCTCTAGGCGTCTTCACACTACCTGGAAGGGAGGGGGGGAAAAAAAAGAACTATACTAAAATGAGAAGAAACCGGGAAAGACACCCTATGCACGGGAATCCTTGGTCTAGCTCGCTTTACCTATTAGCTGGCGGGCATCAGACAAGTCACCAGATCAAATGACCTCACCATGCACACTCCTGAGCCGCCCCGCTTTCAGTGTTTTGCACATGCAGCTGGCAATGAACGGGCCGAGGGGCTGTTTTGCCCTGAGCCGTCCATAGCCACATCGGCCCATCAGGCCTTGATTGGCACGACCAACGAGAGGAAGTTGGAAGGGAACTATCCACCCGAGCTCTTTAATGAGGATTCGACGTTCTTGCCAGGTGCTAACAAATGAGGAATCAACGTTCTTCCCCACCCAGCCGCCCGTCTCCGTCCTGTCCCGCTGCTGTGTTAGTGACTTAAAGACGGCGTAGTAAACTATCGTCGCCGGCTTATTAGTGAGCAATGAACGTCCTTCCCCACCCAGCCGACACGGGCTGATTAATGAGTAATCAACGTTCTTCCCCACCCAGCTGACACGTGCTTAGCTGTGCGCCAACGACCTATCCTCGCGGCAGCAACGACCTATCTCTTGGTGGCAGGCACCGTGCATTATTTCTACCCGGTGCCTTCCTCCTTTTGGCTTGCGCTGCCGGTTATTTTGCTCCGCCCGCCGAGGCCCCAAAGTTGGGATGGATGCAAGACCCATTTAGTACGGCAAATAGTACGTGATCCGACGTTTGTACCATTTAGTAATGCGTGTCACCCTTGCGCAGCGGCCATGCTAATCGTCTGTGTATCGTTCCAATTTTAAAGGATGTCCCGAAGCTATGTTGGCCGTCCTGTCAGATTTGACAGGTAATTTTTGTTGGCCGTCCCGTCCAGATTTGACAGGTAATTGATGTGGTTGGGCGTACGGGGAACCCCGTAGTAGCCGGACTTCGCTCCACTACTGTCCACTACAAAAACGGACAGTGGTACTTCGCTCCACTACTGTCCACTGTACATGTGCGAAATGGCTTGGACAGTTTTTAGAAACCCCGTCGGAAATCTAGGGTCTCGCTCCACTACTGTCCACTGTACAATTTTTCAGACATTTATTGGACAGTTGTCAGAGCGAAAAATTGTACCGTGGACAGTGGAAAATGGGACATCCCTCCACTTACTGTCCAATGTACAATTGAGCAGATCTTCGCGAAAATTCGCACGTACAGTGGACAGTAGTGGAGCGATGACGCCGCTGTCCAAGCTCCAAGCGTAGTGGGACATGCTGGTCCCAATTTGTTTTGGCGGGAATACTGAAATTGATCTGGCCTCTGCCAAATCGGAATGGCCGTTCGATTTCAGTCATCGCAGGACTTCCTTTCTGTTGTGTGTGGGGCGGGGGGAGGGGGAGCCGGGGGGGAGGGGGAGGGGGGGCGCGCGGCGGCGGTGTAGGTCGCGCTGTTGCAGTGTACCGCTTCAAAGCGGTTCAGGGGATGAGATTCTCCGCGCCCGAATTCCTGCCGCGCAGTCGACCAGATGCATTCGGCTATTTTCAAGGCCATGTGGATGGACCGGGTCCAACCGGCAGGGACGTGCATCTCGCGGGAGGTAGCTGCCATTGTCTGCGGAGAACCACCTCAACCGTCCCCGCTACACCGTCGCCTCTATGCCCCGCAGTGCTGCGCACCACCCCGCCTTTCGTGAAACGGCCCCTCATCCGCAATAGCCACTCGGTTCCATGATGCGGGTGCAGCCACTTTCCTTCCCACTGGCCACTACTTTGCCGGCACACTGCGGTGTACCCCGCCCGCTGCGCAGCCTACTCTTTTCGGCGCTCGTGTGTGTGTATCCCAACTCTGTTAGTCAGCTAGATACATATATATGCGTATCGTGGGTGTGATAGATAGATAGAAAGATATCCTTAAGGGGTGTGCGTGTGTGTGTGTGTGTGTGTGTGTGTGTGTGTGTGTGTGTGTGTGTGAGAGAGAGAGAGAGCCGATCGGGCGAATGGGATCCCTGCCCTGCCATCGTCGTCGTTGGATTCTCTGAACCGCGCGCGCTTGAAGTTGGGATCGGCCTTCCAAATGAGAGCGTGATTTGGCGCTGCGCGCATCAAGTCGGAATCCGCCTTGCCGGCGGGCGGGCGGGTGTGTGTGTGTGTGTGTGTGTGTGTGTGTGTGTGTGTGTGTGAGAGAGAGAGAGAGAGAGCTTTTATTTATTTTCTTTTTTTTCTTTTGGAGAATTTCATTTCGAAGTTCCCGCTCCAGGTGGGGTTCTGTCGCCGCCCCCCTCTTCTTTGGATAAGAAGTCCACATCGAAGAGTCCTGCGGATGGACCCCGCAGCCCGTGCACAAGAGATGCGGCGATGGAGGAGGCGTTGTGCTCTGACCACGGCAGCTGTCACTGCTGCCATTACACAGCATCAGCAAGAGACGGAGGTGGTGGTGCGGACAGTCTGCGCACTCCTTCACTACAAGCTCATGGAAGAGTACGGCTACCCTGTGCCTAGGGTCCTGAACTTCGCTGGTTTCCTTACGGCTGTCATCATGGCTGCCGGCATCCTCCCGCGTCTTGCACCGCGTTGGTGGGTTAAGCCCAGAGCGGGGGGGGCGTGGAAGAACATGACAAGGGTGGGCACAGCGCGTGGCGACTATTACCACGACAACATCCGTATGGGGGAGGACATCTTCCGTGGCATTGTGGCGAATGTTCGCGTACATCTACACAGGATGTGCACCAAGTATCGTGCTCCGAAGCAGCCGGAAAAGCTGGTCGCATATGCATTGTATCGCTGGGCGACTGGAGAAACTTTCGAACATTCGGCTACATCGTTCCAGCTCGGGCGTGAGACGGGTCGTGTGGCTATCCAGGATGTCTCTAATGCTTTACTTAGAGCGTATCCTGACGAAGTCGCATTCCCCACGGGTCAGAGGTTGGTAGAAGCATCAGAGAGGTTTAGGGACAAGGGATTCCCTCACTGTTACGGAGCTATTGATTGTACACACATCTACATGGACAAGCCTGCCGGAGAGATGGCTCAATTATTCCATTATCGCCCAGGTTGTTGCCGGCGCAGACCTTCGTGTGTATGATGTCAATGTCGGCTGGCCGGGTTGCGTGCATGATGCCCGTGTGCTTCACCACTCGTCCCTCTTCCAGCGAGCCGAGTCTGGCAGGCTGTTCCGCCAAGATCCACTCCCGCTTCCCGGAGGGGTCACCACACGCGGTTACCTTCTCGGTGACAACGGGTACCCCAGCCTCCCTTGGCTAGTGGTTCCATATGGTTGGCGGCACAGGGTGGGCGAAGATACCGATTTGTTTGACGACACACAAAGGACTTGCAGAGGATGTGTAGAGCGGGCGTTCGGGCGACTGAAATGCATGTGGAGAATGTTCTTGCGCACTCACAAGCCCAACATAACACTGCTGTCGCTGCAGTTCCAGGCGGTTTGTATAATCAGTGGAGAATGTTCTTGCGCACTCACAAGCCCAACATAACACTGCTGTCGCTGCAGTTCCAGGCGGTTTGTATAATCCACAACCTCCTCATCTGGTTCGGCGTGGAACCGGACCCCGATCCCACCCCCTCCCGAAGAGCTGACGGTGGAGGGTGCTCGGAGAGCTGGACATCGACTGAGAAACGCCCTTTGTGTGCATGTGGGGGCGCATGTCCGTGCAGGTCGTCAATGATGCGGGTGTGCCCGCCATGCTCTGCATACCACTTTTGGATAGTTGATTCGACACATTTCTGCATGCTTGGATTTTCATGTGGATTTGGCAAAAGCGATCTTCACGTGTCCTTCACTGTTCAGATAGTTATTTCCCTAGTAGAGCATAGTAATTTCAACAGTGTTATGAGGAGAAGTTAAATTTTACAGCTTCGTGGCTGTGGCCGTAGGGCCACACACTTGGATTTTGCAAATTATCTGTGCGCGCAAGGTCACTACGGTAGTGCTGATCTCCCCGCTATGGAGTTGCAGGTGGTTCGTTGTGGGATGTAATGGGGTCGGGGCTGTGCACATCTTTCGTTAACTTGCAGGTGAACTGCGATTGCTGTGATGGCGTGCAAGCTGTTTTTTTTCTCCTAACATCAATGGTTAGCCGATTCTTTGGTCTACATGTAGTGGACAATGGCGGAAGTGAACAATTACGTGATGGTATCGCTGAGAGCATGGAGTGTCAGGACTGGTGTGTCAAAACCCTCAATCCATTGCAGTATCTGCAGCATGAATGAATGCATGTCGACTCACGTCCGTTTGCATATATCATCGTATGTTATGTACTCGAAGTTGATGTTGCTTTGGGAAAAAAAAATAAAAACAATTGCACACAGAGGATATGCCAAGCTACGCCTAGAAAAAAAAAAAAAATCCAACCTCACTGAACCGGCAGCACAAACCTACCTGCCTGATCCGGGAGCCTGAGAACCAGCAGCACACAGCTAGCTGGCCAAGCCAGCAGCCTCAGAACCAGTGGTCCTATTATTATACCCCTATAGACTTGTGTGAGGACGCCCTTGCCCACTTAGTGGTGGCCAGTCCGACCACCTGCTTCGAACTGCCATGCAATGACATTGCAACTCCTATTCACCACACTGCATCCTTTTGGGTTCTTTGTCTGGCCCACCAGCCGCGCCGCCGGGGTCCCCAAACCTGGCACGGAACCTGCATGGGACGACCCGCCGGGCAACTTGGTCGGGCGGGGTCCTGGGCCAAATCCCGCACCCGCCTCCGGAAAAAAAAAAAGAAAAAAAAATATGTTGTGCAGAATAGCAAACCAAACAACTTTTCGCAGAGGGTCACTTCCAAATCCTTCACATAATTGAAAAAAAAAAAAAAAAAAAGGAATGAAAAGTAACTTACACCTTTGGAAGGCCCAATCAACCCCTTTCAAACCCCTTTAGGGCCCTCAACCCACCCCCAACCGCCCCCCCCCACACACCCAACCCTCCAAAACTTACATCAACCTAAAATAACAACAGGACTGGATTTGGATACCTCTCGAAGGGTGAAAAAATGCCCCATCATCAAGGGGAAAAAAACGAGGACAGTTTTGACCGTGTTTTTTCGCGGGTGACCGGGGTGGGAGGCTCCCAATCGCACTGGTCCAACCGGGCGGCTGGGCCCGTGTGGATCTGGTGGACCAGTTCTTGGTTGTTTTCGTTTGTGACTTCAAAGAACCGACTGCTCTGTGACTTTCCAGGACTAAACTCCATTGTTCATCACCTGGGAGCCGTTCAATTCCCACAACGTCATCAGGGGGCGGGGGATAAAATAAAGGGTGTCAGCCACAGCTGGATGTTGTTGTAGTGCAACATGCATTGAGGTGAACTGCAGTAAATATTCACTTAGTTAACTGCAGGAAATGCGCATTGCCACTTGAATTAAATGTAGCCAACAAACACTGAAGTTATCTGTAGTACAGTGAGGTGTAACCTCCCAATCGCACTTTGATTTCCGGGCGTAGATGCACTGGGGGTGTTGGTTGCCCAAGGCTGCACCAGACGGAGACGCCCATTGCTTTGCAAACAAGACATGGACTACAGCTGCACTTTCATTGTTATCTGATGAGGTGACAGTTATTCCACACAGCTATTTTTTATTTTCCGTTCGGGTGTTTTGTTTAAGTTATCTCTGAACTTGCCATGTGATGATACTGGTTATGCCACTGATGAGGTGCCCGCCTCAAGGTTTCAGTTGGGACATGCAGTTGTTGATGCTTAACCACAACCGGGGTTAAGGTGGATTATCACCTACACTGTAATCAGTTAGGGGATTCTGCAGACTGTTGAGGGTTCAGCCTCCTGAATCCTGATGAGTCGGTGAAACTCTGACGAAACAGTTTGTCAAGCACCTCGTTTGTTGTCCTCTAATCCCTCTCTGCCTACGGTTTACCGGGCAGCTCTGTTTGACGATATATATATATATAGAGAGAGAGAGTCACCAGCCCGTACATACGGAGGTCCCCGGGCCAACCTCCACACGTACGGGCGTTCGGGGTCCCGTTCCGGGTCCGAACCTGAAGGCATTTGGCCCCTGCCAAAAAATGTTTCGGGACCTAAAATTACTTCTTTTTTATGAATTTTGTTTTGTGAGTTCTTTATGATGTGAGGTGCATGCCTATAAAATTTGAAGTCATTTTCCAAGCCAACAAAAAATAAAAAACGCCAAAGATGGCGGCGTCAAAAGGTGCTAGTTCTGTTGTTTTTTTTTTTTCACTTTTTGCTTTTTGTATTCACTTCATTTCGGTGCCTAAAACATTTATTATTTTCGGGACATTTTTTAATGAGTTTTCTATTATGTGAAGTACACGTCTGTAAATTTTCAGGGCATTTCACCATGCCAAACAAAAATGAAAAATCACCAAAGATGGCGGTGTCAAAAACGTGCTCGCGCACTCATTAATTTTAATTCTCTTTTCGGTTTTTCTTATTTTTATTATTAGTATTTATTTTCCGTATTTTATTTCTATTCCACAGTTGGTAAGGAGTTTGGATGTAATGCCCATAAATATATATATATATATATATATATATATAT